AGGGTAACTTTTGTAGGTGATTAACTGAATATTATAAAGTAGAAACCGATAGAAAACTGCGTCATGAGAATTTTAAACGTGTGTTTGAAATATCAATGTCACTTTGATGGAAATATCAAACAGCAATGTAAAAAATAATATTTATTTTTTTGTTATTCAAAAATATTTTAAATTCTAAATACATGGTTCGATCATCGGAGGTAGAACGACTACATTGAATCTATAGCTTCATCTACTGCAAGGAAAGTTGGTTCTCTGTGTCGCGCCAGAGGTTTTTTCTCATCTGAGTCTATCCTTCAAATCTAAAAATCTACAATCCGTCCTTGCATTGAATACTGTTGCTATATATGGTGTGCTGCCCCCGCTGTTCATCTCGAGGTCCTCGACAATAATCCAGAGACGGATATGCAATGTCATAGGTTCTGATCTGGCATCTCGTCTAAAGTCATTTTTATCACAGACGTGTTGTAGTTTCCTTCTGTCTTTTCTACACATATTTTCATGGCAACTGCTCTGAGGAGCTGCTTTCACTGGTTCGCAAATTAAATGAACTTAAGCATGCTACTAGGTTGGCGTCTTTGCCCCACCCTTTCACTGTCGAAACGATTAAATGTCGCCGTCTCTTCTAAGCTTCTTATCTCGGACTTCCTTACAGTGGAACTCCCTTTCTCTTACTTGCTTTCCTGATAGCGATACTCTTCAAATATTCAAATGTAATGTCTATAGATATCTTCTGATGCGTTGATCCTGATCACCGTCCTTCTCTATATTCTTTCCTCAAACACCCCTCTTTACTCTTGCTCTCACTCTCTGTAAACCCCTTGCGTGCTAGTGGCACTCCCGACCTTGCTTCAGTTGATATGCTTAAAAAAGTCTGGTAAAACATTGCATAACTTGACATAGCGCAGATAAAATTATAAACGGTTTGGTATATTTCGTCGTAGCCCATTACGCGTCACTGATTCAGCGTGGTTGATTCGGCGTCAGAAAAATAATTGGACTATTCAGCACAGCCGTTTCGGCGTCAGACTGTTTCTACGTCACTGTCTTTGACCGGAGGCAACGTCCACCCACCCACCCTCAAAAAGGATAAAAGCATTGAAAACACCCAACTTTTAATTTGACTTTAGGGAATTAAGGATTCTATTAAAACACTAATGGAATAATGTAAATTAAAATCTCAAAATAAATATATTGCGTTTGAAAAAAAATTAACAAATTAGTAAATCTGTTTAATCTTAGAAATTACTTCTTGATTTCGTAATTATGAGCCACACCCTTCAGAAATGCAATAGGATCTAATGATTTAATTTTGGAATAAAATGACTTTGACGACTGAAAAATATGAAGTTGCACTGAATGAAATATAATATAAAACTACTCTTTTTCTTAAATTAGTCTATTCGAACATACAAAGACAAAGTACTAATTTGACTACGAAAAAGAAAGAGAACAAATTTGACGAGAAGCGCGAAGTAGTAATCTGACGTCTAATCGTCTCTCTGTCGAAAAATTCCTATGTCGAATCAGCGACGCCAAACAGGGTACGCCGGAAGGTCGCATTCGCAATAATAAAGAAGTCGTTACAGCGTCTAGGGTGTTTTTTAAATGCTGCTCCTGTATAGAATGTATGCATTATTTCATATCACGGACTTCTAGTAACCAAAAAAAAAAAAAAAACCATTTGTAAACGCATATGAAGACAAAAACAAAAGAGTGCTTAATATAATGTCCGAGCTCTTGAAAATGGTGATGTAAAGAAAGCATTTTTTGATAGACTAGAATGTAAACTGACGTTACAAAATTGTGTTCTCTGCATTAATGTGAATCGCATTAGTTAATCTATCCGAATCATGTGAGATCATTACTAAGCTGATAAGACAAAACTTTCCATGGAAGGACAACATTGAATCAAAACGACTGATAGCAATAAGCGAGACTTAGAAGAACACTAAAAATAGAATGAAAAACAATAAACAGCCTGTCCTGGCTAAGATGATAAACTATATCCAACAGCCATACCTCTGAACAGGAGTGTTTGAGGAGCATTGAACCATCGCTTAATTGCTAGTGTTCCCAGGTTCAGTTTGACCTGGAGTGGTAGCACCTGTTAGGGTCCCAGCTATGGTTTTAATACCAGCAATGGGTATTTTTAGACAAACATATTACCAGCAGTACATTTCTGTGAAAAAAAATATTACCAGCAATACATTTTTTAATAACAAATGTTACCATTTTTGGAAAAAATATTACCAGCAATAAAAATCTCGTCGGCATTAATTTAACCATTGAGGTGTTGATATTCCATAAAATAGAACAGCCCAAACCAAAGTAAACAAATGCCAATAAAAATAATTACTCTGTGAAACAAAATCATTGAGAAACTGAAAGCGAAATCAATGAAACAAAACAGTGTACACTATGTGTTGAAATGGCGAAAAGATAAATAAAAAATTAATGATAACATCATCCAATCAAAACCAGAGTAGAAGAAATGTACCGGTCTCAAAAACCACTTCGTTCCTGGCCACGCCAAAGGAAAAGGAAAAGCAAAATATATTCGAAAATCAAAAGTCTATCTGAAATCTTACATTAAAATGAACCCAGCAATAAAACATTTTGAAAGGTTAATAGGCTTTAGTTTGAAAGTAGTATACTATTCAATTTTAAGTTTCTTAGTTTTATAAAAGCAATCTGGAAACCAATTCTCATTCCAGACCAGTGTGATCTGTCACATAGAGTATGAGTGTGTGTGTGCGTGTGTGTGTGTGTGAGAGAGAGAGAGAGACAGAGACGGAGTGTGGAGGAGGGAGAGAGACAAAACAAGAGACAGTGTGAACAAGAACCGTCACTGTCTGGTGAATGTGAAATTATGTCCTCAATGAGATCTCCAGATTAACATCAAATTCTCTTTTAGCGGTGTGTATCCATAAGTAAAAAAGGTCACGATGGGATGTACATGGTGTTACCGCCATTAATATAGACTGATAAAGGAGTAGTAACACTTCGTCATATGAAAGTGTGAAATTGACATTCAGTATATTCTGAAGTGATATTTTCTTCGACTTTAAAATCCTAAAAAAAAGCAATATCTAACATTGACTCCGATTTGAACTCATGGAAAATTTTTGCGTTCCCAAATAATCTAGGAAATAAAAAGTAATCTTTAATTAAACTAATTTCAAAATCTCAAAGAGGTCCTTGCGCAAAAGTTGTCGACACGACATTAACATTTCTTCCTGTTCAAATCAAATGTTTCAAGTATTAGCGGTGATATTCCGATGTCCTATTTGTTGTGATCTTTCCATAACTTAGGTTGTCTACCACTTGATCATGTGCCAGCGAAGGGGGGAGTTGGAATTGTAGAATCGAAATACAAATCTTCGATTCTTCTGCATTTTTGGCCAAATAAGTTTACTCCTTCTTCTAATCAATGTAATTATATTACTTGTCGAATCTAGTTTTTTTTTTTCCTTTTGACAACAATTAAGATTCTGTCAAAATTAAAACTGAACTCACAGAAAATAGTAAAAAGGCTGGTGAAAAACTTGTGACATAACTGTTTATAGAAGATGCATAAATATCTTCCAATTTAGTCGTAGAATCCTAAACAAATGATGTATATACACTTCTTGTCATTACTTCTTGATTGTGGTAATTGTTTAGATATTTGTAGTAGTATTCCGGTGTCCTCTCTGAGTTGGTCTTATCATCTTTTAAATGGTTTACTATGTAATTTTTGGCATAATTTTTATCATTATAGGATCGAAATTCAGAGTTTTGTACTCTTCTGAGTGTATGCCAAAAACAATTTAGCATCTTTCTTCTAATTAGGTTAATTCTTAACATTCTAAGTTTTTCTTAAAGCAGTCATTCCAGTTAGGTTTGACTCTGAGGCAGTTGGAAATTTTCTAAATATGTCAAATTTGATATAAAAATACTAACTCTCATACTATAATTCTGACGGAATATTTATCATGTATATATTTATCCTGAAGATTTAATAAACGTTGACTTAAATGCAGTGGTGGCAATATATATATATATATATATATATATATATATATATATATATATATATATATATATATATATATATATATATATATATATATATATAATATGCAAAGAAATAGACATATATATAAAGACATATATATTGGAGGTATGGTGGAGCAATGGATAGCGGCTTGGATTGAGAAATCAGAGAGTCGAGTTCGGATGGATGGCAACTGGTCTAGGAGAAGGAAAACTCTGAATTCAAAACCTGCGGAGGGTCGTTTGGGGCACTTGTAGTGCACCAGGTCTCTGTATTCGGCCCTTCAAAAGGTGTGGATGGTCCTGCACCACTATAATCAAATCTCATGTGCTGTTGTTGGGCTGTCGGTTTCCTAGGAACTAATCTGCTTGACCCTGATACGCCGAATTCGACGGGAGAGTCGTGGTATATATATATATATATATATATATATATAAGTTTCGAGAAAAACAGTAAAGATATAAATAAATAAAAAAGTCGATAATTTTATCTTAAACAATTTAAAATACGTCAACTGTTTAAAAACGTGAGAGATCCGCTGAAGTAATACGCGGGATATTGGCGAATCTATATTTCTTTCTTTTTGTCACTAAAACAAGTGAGTCAATGAATGAACGAATATGTCGCATGTTTTCTAAATTTGACAGTTTTTTGAAACTATATTTACAATACTAATCATCTTGATCAATGTGAGGAATTTATGTCTATTTCTTTGCAATTGGCATAGTGTTATTATTATTGTCATTATTATTATTATTATTATCATTGTTATTATTTTTTCTGTTCTTTCAGTTTAAGCGGATTTTAGAGAAAAAATCTAAAGTGGCAGATGCTTGACTTTGCGTGCGATTAATAATCCGACAAAAGCAGAAAGTTTCGAAAAATGAGAAAAAAAAAGGGAAATTGAAGGATTTTCTTTTTTTATTTAATGCCAATGAAATGGCGCCAGGAAAAAAGGGAACTATAGAATTTGAAAATGGAATTTATCGAAGAAAATATAGGGAAATCTCTGAAAGAAAGAAAATGACATGAAGAAAAAAAACGAACGAAACAAATAAGAAAAAAATGGAAAGAAAGACAAGGGTATGAAGGAATTTTGAAGAAAATAGAGAGGAAAAGAAATCCATGAATAAAGAAAAAGTAAGAAATATAGAAAGAAGAGGTAAATAAGGAAAGAATGAAAGAAAGTAAGAAAGAAAGAAGAAGGAAAAGGGAACAAAGAAGGAAAGAGAGGAGAAAGAAAGAAAGAAAGAAAGAAAGAAAGAAAGAAAGAAAGAAAGAAAGAAGGTAAATAAGGACAGAAATAAGGTAACAAATAAAGAAAGAAGAAGCTGGGAAGAAGAAAACAAATAAGGATTAATGAATTAAGGCAGGAAACAAAAAGAAAGGGAAAGAAAAAAGAAAGAAAGAACGAAAGAAAGAAAGAAAGAAAGAACGAAAGAAAGAAAGAAAGAAAGAAAGAAAGAAAGAAAGAACGAAAGAAAGAAAGAGGAGTGAAATGAAATAAAAAGGAAATAAAGAAGAGGGTAGAAATAGTCATGAATAAAAGCGAAGAAGAAAGGAAATAAAGAAAATAAGAAATTACGAAAGATAGAAAGAAATAGGAACTAAGGAAACAAAGAAGTAAAGAAAAAAGATGGAAAGAAAGAAACAAATGTGAAGAGAGAGAGAGAGGGAAATAAAGAACGGAGAAAAAAAAAGAGTAGAAAAAGGAAATAAAGAAGGAAAGAAATAAGGTAAAAAAAGAAAAAGGGAAAGAAATAATGAAATGTGAAGAGGGAGAGGCAAAGAGTGAACGGAAAAAAGAAAGAATACAAAAAGTAAATAAACAATAAAACAATTAACGAATGAAAGAAAAGAGAAAGAAAGAAAGAAAGAAATGTGAAGAGAACGAGACAAAGAGAGAATGAAATAAAGAAAGAATACAAAAAGAAAATAAAGAGGGTAGCAAATAAGTAAAGAAAAAGATGGAAAGAAAGAAAGAAAGAAAGAAATGTGAAGAGGGAGAGCGAGGGAGAAAGAAAGATAGAACGGAGAAAAACAATAGAAAAAGAAAATAAAGAAGGAAACAGAAAAGGAAAGAAAGAATTTTGTAAGAAAGAAACAAATGTGAAGACGAAGAGGCAAATAGAGACTGAAGAAAATAAAGAACAGAAAAAGTAAATAAAGATAGAAGGAAAGAAAGAAAAAAAAATGATTCAAAGCAAGCAAATAAAAAAAATGAATAAATTAGGCAAAATATTGAAAAGGGAAAATTTAAAAAAAAAAACAAAGATAAGAATGATCAGGATGAATAAAGAAAGAAAATAACTAGAACAATAAAAGGAAAAAAAATTGTAAATAAAGGAATATATTATATTTTTTAAAGAGCCGTAAGTTCTATTCTAATAGTTTCTTTACTCGCACTTCTCGCGTGTGGAATTCTGTTCCATTTTTTGCTTCCCTATCACCGACGTTCTTCAAAGGATTCCAATGCAACGTCAATTGCCGTCTTATGTATTCTTGAATGTTGTTCTTTTATTATCCTTTCTCTTCACCAAATTCTTTTGATTTTCTTCCACTCCGAGTAAACCCTTGCGTCTTAGGGGCATTATAGCCTTGCTTGAAGGTGAAATGATAAAAAAAATAAATGTAAGTTTTACAAACAACGGAAATGGGATGCAACGGACAAGGAAATAATGAATCAAATAACCAAGCAAGCAAAAAATTAATTGAAGTAAAAACGACATATAATCTAGAGGAAAAATGGGAAAATGTCAAAAATCTGACTAAATAAAAAGTAAAAATTAATAAAATAAATAATAAAAAGCATAATATGTGTAAAATACAAAAGAAAGAATAAGAAAAGGAAAAGAAAGAAGAAAAAGGAAGGGAAAGCGTATTTGAGAAAATAATAAATTAATTAAAGAAAATATTGAAAATAAAAGATAGAAGGAAAGAATTGACTTAAAACAGAAATAAAGACAATGATTGCGAATGAAAAATTACTTAGAGACGAAAGAAGAACAGGATGAAAAAAATAGAAAGAAAGAATAAATGAATGAAAGAAAGAAATAAAGAAAGAAGAGTTATGAAAAAGAAAAAAAGAAGACTAAACGAGGGAAAGGTATACATCGCTAACGCTTACATCTTTATTGGAGGATAAAATGCAGCAGAAAGATTAAAACCGAGAAAATCGACATTTTGGGTCGATTCCGAAAGGGGTCGGTATAAAGACTGTGAAAAAGAAGGATTGATATTTTGTTTGTATTTCAAACGACAATTCGGCAAAGCTAGCAACTCTTTCTGACGTCAACATGTCGACGAACATTTTCACCCTACAGGAACCGATGTGAGTCGCTTAGCACGTTGATCAATCGATTTGTTTTCGTGCATGCAAAAGAATTAAACAAAGAAAAAAAAATACTTAAAAGTACGAACACCGAAGACTACACTTATAATGACAAGAGTAAACATCGAACTGCGACAGAGAAAAAAGATAACAAGCAAGCAATTTCAATAGAGGCCGGGTGGGGAGAGTTGTTCAACTTGGAGCTCTCGAATGTTTGAAGGCGAGTTTTGTTATCTGTTCAACGACCCCAAAGACGATTGAATGAGTAGATGAGTGAGCAGAATTGTTTTAACTGGTAGGAAGGGAAAAACGCACAAAGACATACAGTGACAAAGACACACGGAGACAAAAAGACACAGCGACAAAGATAACGAAGACAAGCTGAACAGGCTGGAAATAATTTAAAATGTCAGGAGAAAAAGAACAAAAAGAAAGAAAATTGGAAATAAAATTTGAAAGGAAGGGGAAAATACTACAGATTTTAAACAATCCGTTACCAGAACAGATTTAACAAAATATGTTTATTTCTCCAGAGAAATAAAAAGTATTTTGGAGAGGGTTAATCAGAAAAAAAAAACTATTGAAATTTCTAGGACATATAATGAGGAAAGTGTACTTGGAAAATTTAACACGCTGAAGACTTACTGAATTTATGAGGAAAATATGGAATCATCGAGTAACCTGCCAGAAGATGAAGCGGGGACATAGTAAAAAGACCAAATTTATTAAGCGGTACAAAGTTATAGGAAGTTGTGGAGAGCCATAGCTACGCATGACCAATAAAGGTAATAACAAATATTTTCAGAAAATAGCCGAAGGAATAAAGCAGATCAAGTGGAATGTTACGTACTCCATAATACATGTAATATCAGCTCACATAAATGGCACTTAATGCCTTACAGTTGAAGAAGACAAAAATATGACTCGACAGCAGGATACTGAAAATTCCAAGGACAAAGCATGTAAGCAATGAAGAGATTTTGATGATAATGGAATTAAAAATGCGTCAATACTTAAAATCAGATAAGGAGTCATAACGTGGAAAGAATTCTTGGAGAGTTTGGCACGCACAGGTCATTGAAGGCAAGAGAGGCGGAAGAAAATATCATCAGTACTGGGTCCTGGGTAAGACGATAAACTACATCCGACAGCAAGACCTTTGATCAGACGGTTTTGAGGAACATGGAAACACCTCTTAATTACTGGTGTCCCCAGGTCCACGCTAATCCGGGGTGGTAGCACCTGTTTGAGTCCCAGCCCTGTGCAAATAGTTAACCCCCAAACCGGGGTCATAAGACTATGGAAGTGTAAAAACAGGTTTTAATACCATCAATACATTTTTATAATAATTATTACAAGCAATATATTTTTGAAGAAAAAGCTTATTACCGGCGACAGATTTTTGGAAAAAAAATATTACCATCAGTATATTTTTTGAAAAAAAAAAAATTACCAACAATACATTTTTGAAGAAAAAAATATTACCAGTAATAAGAATCTTATCGGCATTAAATAACCCATTGAAGTGTTGATATGCCGTAAAACAAACTAACCCAAACCAAACATACAGGGAATTCTGAAACAGAGCAAAGTACAGACTTGTTATGTACCTCCTAATATATCTAATATCAGTTCGCATAGATGGGAGTTAATGTTTGACAATCTCCTCACAGGTGGAGAAGAGACTTGAGTCAACAAAAATATGAGTCGACTGTAGGATCCTGAGAATTTCATGGTGAGAGCATGTGAGTAATGAAGAGATTTTGATAGTAATGGAATAAAATGGCGTTGATACTTAGAATTAGACGTTTGAAATTTCTATGAACCAAAATGTGGTAAGAATGCCTGAAAAGTTTGACACGCACAGGTCATTGAAGGCTAGAGGGACGAAAACAAACAGCGTGTAATCTACCTAAGAGAACAGGAAATGGGAAAGATAGAAATAATAGATAGATTAATTAGAGCTAGAAAGAAGAACAATTTTTGGTGAGTCGTGATCATCCACGTCCCTAAGGGACACGTTCAATGAAAGAAAACCGTTGTCTATTAATGCCGTAGGGGTCGTGAGCAACGAGAGCAATGTAACGGTGTCACATCCTGTCGGCACTCCCACGTTTTTTCAAAACAACTGGAAGAAAATACATGACATTCCAGGACAAATGACGGCTGCAAAACTGATCCTACATAAAAAATTTAGAACCCGAAAAAAAAGCACCTTCCGTGGCCCATGGAGGGGGAAGTTCATCATATCCCATTTACTTCGGGCAGAGTGCGACTCAGTTTTGGTTCTGTCTGCGGACAGAGACACGACAGGTAGTTGCCCGGTCCCAGGGAACAGCTTCTCGTGGCTGCAACATTGTCCTCGAGAGGGAGTTTCGATAGTCATACCTATGCCAACGCAACCGACGTGGGCAATTTTTGTCCCAAGTCTGAGTGTGCACGCTCGGATACCCCACATTAAAACCCCGTCCTTGAGTCACATCCCGTCTCAGTGGGGATCGATTGATCAGAATCCCGTGACTCATCAGGGCCGTAGGGGCACCACATTTCCTGTCGCCGCAGTAGAATTGGTGTTTCTTGGGCAAGATAGCCTGATGGTGCCCATCCCTCTCCAGGCCGGTGGGGAGGCTTGGATAAATAACTCGTCCCGCGGCTCATGCCGAACAGGATCACCATCTCTCAGTTATGTCTCTATCGTCGGACAGAATGCAACTCAGTTGTGGTTCTGTCTGAGGACAGATACTTAGCTCCGAGAAGAAAATACTGAAAGATACGCTGTCCCGGGAACAGATGACAAGTCCCGGGGAATACCTGTCCGCAGCTTAGGCCCCACTCCCCGCCGTTTACTAGAGAGATAGGGATTCGTAGTCAAACCGATGCCAGCGCGACCGACGATTCGGGAGCTGGGTATTTTTCTCCCTGTCCTGAGTGGATGCCTTCAGGTTCCACATACTAAACCCGATCTTGCGTCACCTCCCGTTATGATAACCCTACCGGGCATAAGCGTGTAGGGTTATCATCTTTCAGTTGCGTCTCTGTATTCGTAGAGAGTGCTAATCAGTTGTGTGTCTGTCTGCGGACAAAGTCACTGCTGACTCGAAAAATACTGAGAGGTACCTGGTCCGACACTTGGACAACGTGACCCAAGTGTTCCCGGACAATAATTTCACGGTTCATATCTCCCTGAAACTGTTATTTCCTTGATTTGAGACTTTCAGAAAGAGATCAGCCAGAGTTGCCCAAGATGTTTCTGTTATGTCCACTATTTTGTACAACTATTGGATGGAATGTTTGTTCTTCTTATGTAGTGATCGGTTAATGTTCTTCCTGTTTCGACTGACACCGCGCTAATCATTTCAATCACCTGAAGAAGGCCGGGACATACAACGGCCGAAACTTTGTAACACATATGACGACAGAGATGAGGACAATAGTCCGAATAATATAGTGTACATAATATCTAATCTCAGAAAGATCGACAGATACTGAACGCCTGAAACGTTGTGATAAATATGGCAACAAATATGAGGACAATAGTCCGAATAATGTAAATAGTGAATTATGAATTAGTAGACAAGCAGCTCATTGCAAATTCGTTCTTCACGGAATATACTGGTGATGTCTACGCTGCTACGATCAGCTTTTTTTTTTTCATTTTTTTCTATTAATTTCACTATACAATCTTCATAGGTTTCCAATGTAATTTGTGTATATATATATATATATATATATATATATATATATATATATATATATATTTTTTTGCATTCAGAATCTTTGTATAGTATGTAATTTAATTTTACATAATAGGTATTTCCTTTCAATTTTTTTTTTTTTCGAGTCAGCCTTCGAGCCATTTTTTCCGAGTGAACAAGCAATTCACTTTGAATGCTGTCAGAATGGTATTAAAAGGAGACATCACTGTTTCAGAATTCGATGATTGGATGCGAAAAAAGTAAATGTTTTAATCACGTTCCCATGAAAGACATTACACACGCCACTGACGGATGAACAGTGTTTTTTTTTTCAGTTTTCAAATTTGATCTTAGTATTAGCACCGAAGTTTATTCATGGAATTCTTGAATTGATTCCTACCTGCAAACAATGGCTTGAAAAATTAACTCCATTATTTTCCGAGAGATAATCTGGTTTCTTGTTCGTTTTTGTCCTCTGTGAAACTGCATCAAGATTAAAAAGAAATCCTATTCTTGTAAAGTATTTTAACCAGTACAATTGTCCTGAACAATTCAACAAGCGACCGATTAAAAGTTTAAAAAAAATGTACCTCAGTTCCGAAATATTCAAATTCACGTGAACCATAGTTTTCCATGTGTAGTATATGCCTCACCTCAGATCAAAACAGAGATTGCACCCACTGTCAAACAAGAAAGCGAGGTGCAGAGTTAACCTAAATTAACCTATTAACTGCGGAGAACAGATCCCTGCGATGCACGGACGACAAAGAGCCACATGAAAGCGATAGACGTATAAACATCCACCCTAGAGGTAAGGGAGCGGCGTCTCTTAGACATCGCAGACGAGAATGTAAGGTCCATGTTTGAAGGAAGAGCACCGAAACACACACACGTGTACATACACACGCAAAGACACTTGGTGATATTAATGGAAGAAGTCAAGAGCTAAACGAAATTCATATCTTTTAATCACCAATGGTATGATTCTCATCTGATGATCCTGATATATATATTTTTTTTTTTCATCGGCGTCTTTCTAACTTTTCTATAAATATTTGCATGGCTATATCCTAATATATATATATTTATCGGTATCTCGACCGGATACATTTTAGCGTACCACTAGATTAGCAAAAACCGAAATGGATTTTATTGCAAAAATAGCATGATGGAACCGTAAGTTCTATTCCAATAGTTTTTTTTTTTCATCGGCGTATTTTCCAGGTCTATAAATCTTTGGCCTTCTCTGTCCTACTGAACTTCTTCTCCTTTCTCCTTACCGGA